TATCAACTTCTTATGGGTCATTTAATGCTGAAATGTTTTTTTCTTTGAAACATTAGCAATTTCTTTTACAAAAATATATTGCTGATAATATTTTTTCCTTTTTTTACAAAAATACATTGCTGGTTATTTTCTTTCTTTGACAAAAATGTATTGCTGTCAATATGTTTTTTACAAAAATGTATTACTGGTAATATTTTTTGTTTTGCAAAAACGTATTGCTGGTAAATAACTTTTCTTTTTTTTTTTACAAAAAATGTATTGCTGCTCATATTTTTTTCTAACAGAAAAGTATTGCTGGTAATTTTCTTTTATTTTTTTACAAAAATCTATTATTGTAACTTTTTTTTTACTATCAAAATGTATTGCTGGTATTTTTACTATAAAAGTTTTTTTATACTTTCATTATGTTATGACTCCAGTTAGGGCGTTCACTATTTACCCATAGCTGAGTCCCGGGTCAGGGTGGACCTGAGAACAACAGCAATTAAGAGGTGGTTCCATGCTCCTCAAAATCTCCAGCTCTGAGGCCTTGCTGCCGCATGTAGTTTATCGTCATACACAGGACAGACGACAGGAAAGAGAGTTCCCAGACACCCACTGAGCAGAAGAAGAAAAACAGATTAAAAATCCGTACTTATACATCTTTCAGCTTCCTCAACGCTCTAAAATATCTGAATCTCATCTCAAATGCAGAGTATAACATTCTCTGGCAGGACTTAAATTACTTGGCCCACTAGTAAAAAAAGACAGAATTTTTTGAGCAATTTTTAGCATTTATTAGAACTTCCTTTACTAACGACGTTTTTTTTTTTTTTTTTTTAATCATTTCACCTCAAGCAACTGATTAGTGAGAAAGGAGAATAAGAAAAACAGTAACATTATTAAGAAGTGAAAACAATGAAAGAAGAGGAATCCAGAAGATAGCGATTGACATTGTGTTTAAATTTTTGAAGATCAATGTTGGCTGGAAAGGATGGAGCCAGAAAAGAGTTCTGCAAGGGAGAAATGGGCGAAAAAAAACTATGAGCTTTTGCCAGAAACGGGATTTTTTTTATTATTTCATAATATAAATACAATTTCAAATCGATCTTTGATTTCTTCAATAAATATCAATACATTTTTTATTTACAAATAAGTTTTAAACTATGCTTATGTAATTGATTACGTAACTATTAAGAATTAGGAAAAAGAACAACACCCGTAGTACGCAGTTATCAATGACAGCTTTAAGTTGACATTTGTACATAAAAACCATGTACCGATAACTCTTTAAAATATCAGAGATCGATTTGACACTGGATTTATAAAGGGTCTTTCATTAAGATGGATTATATATAAGGGTGTTTCATTAAGACGGATCAAAGTCAGCGATAAATAAATTAGGTGAATAATAAGGTGAAGATTTATTTATTTCTCCTTTGGATCATGTTATTTAAGTCATGTCAATTATATGTGAAGAATAATAGTGCCCAAATGTCCGCCAAATCAAAAGAAAAAGAATCATTAGACGTATAAACTTAATTCACATTTAAAATAGGTCCAAGTTATTGGAACACCCTTTATTATTAACAGGAGATCTTTCTAAAATGATAAAAAAAAAAATCAATATTTTTAGCTTCTGATAAATGCCATGTGTGGAGAAAGGTTCCCTACCAAATTCTTCCTAATTTTTTATGAGGTGGGGTCAATTAAATATGATAGTGATCACTCTCTGTCTGGACTGGGTCTGCTATGCCATATTTTTGCTTACAACATTCTTATTTTCCTCGAATTTTACCTTGGGTATACGGCTAGTTTACACCATGTATATAAATAAATAAATTTCAATCAAACCCTTCTCTCGTAAGGAAACGTCTAGTAAGAAGGATCCGATGAATAGCAAGATTTCAACAGGACGAGGTTTTCTTTGCTTAGTAATATCGATATTAGAGAACTTTCCTCGGTCTAATTAGGAATCGCTAGAACACTTGTTGTACTATGTGTTTCCAAAAAGGATTTTAGTGTTACTAAAAAAAAAGACTGCTCCGGTTGGTATAAAAATGACTATTTTCGTTTTTTTCTTTCCGCAATGTTTCCTTTTTCTCAAGGATTACACATAGCGAGGGTTGAAGAATCATGCTAACAAAAGAAATTATGCAAAGAAGGGTTTCATTTGTGTGTACTCATATCGATATAACTAAACGCATACACTAAGACAATTCAGAGTCGAACAAAAATAGCTGCGTGGACATTTGAGTATATTTACTTGCTAAGGAAGTTATTCAAAGAGTTCTGGACTGTTATGTAATATTTGTCTTCTTATATGACAGTGAATGCTGGACAGTCTTGTCACAGATAAAGAGAAATGTGGTTCTACAGAAGGAAGCTGAGAATACCATGGAGAAAGCATGTGAGCAACGAGGAAGCTTTAATGAAAATTGAAACAGGAAGGCCACGTATATTTAAAATCAAAATAAGTCCATTAAAATTTCTGAGACTACCATTGACAAAAGAAAGACACAGAAGGAATCTACTTTAAGAGCTTTTGTGAATAGATGGCAAAAAAGGAGAACGTGAAGAAGAAGAAGAAGAAGAAGATCATTTTATAGGTGGATCTCTATGAATATATATGGGAGTGTGTGTGTTTTTCTATCACAATATTTTACCTTCATCCATGATTTTTCCCTATTGTAATCAGTAGTTCATAATTAATTCTCACAATTATAATATCACTGAAACAAAGTCAGTCATCATTTATCTTCCAAAGCCATCTTGATAAGCTATTTCTGGACAAAAGAAATGCTAAACCGAAACAGAGTGAAAGTAAGTGAAAGGGAAATAAAGGTCCAACCAAGCCACCATATTTTTCGCCTTCCTAATACAGTCTTTAAGAGTCATAGTTCATTAAAATCAATATTGCATTGCATGAAACATAAAAACTAGAAATAATTTATTCACAGTAACATAAGCATCCTCAAAATGTCTCTTTCCTCAATAATCCATTTCTCTTTCTATTGCCCCTCTTGTTTCTTTTAAAATCTCTTTTCATATATGTATATATATATATATATATATATATATATATATATATATATATATATATATATATCCTTTCGTATTTCGTACAGCCTGTATCGTACTTCAGTCTGCATAGCATCAAAGAAGAAGTCTATTTCAGTGAATAAAAATGCAAGTAATCGATCGCCTCGATAATTATTCTTTGACAGGCAAATAACTCTGCGTGCATTCAGTTAGCGATTTTTAAATATGTGTATTTGGAATTTATTATTTCTTTTTCTTTCAGTTTAATATTTAAATAACAACTGAAAAGAATATCTTATATTAGCGTTTAAAAACCATAGATTCTTGGAGAATAACAAATATTTTGAGGAATTCTCGACAAAAATCACTTTCAAGCCGTTAAATATAAGAGTTTGGATTAAATCGTTGGTTTGTTCATTTGCTGATATAGCAACTGTGAGTTCAAATTCTGGGCAGTGTGTACTTGGACTTAGAGGAATCGGGCGAGCAATAATTAAACAGCACTAGAAATAAAACTGAACGATATACCTAGACATGGGCAGTGGGACGAGAATATTTGTCAAGCCCCCGTAGATTATCTAAAAGATCAGTTCAAAATTCGCTGTAGGTTACCCAGATCGATATGCACCTACAACGGCCGAAACGTTTTGATAACAACAACAAAGTTGCTGAAAATAGTCCGTTTATAAATAGTGTAAATAATGATAACTCTTCATCCCAGAAGTTCAGAAAGAAACACTGATATCATTTAATATAACTGAGTTGACAGGTACGAAATCAACCCCGAACCATTTCACCCCAAGAAAGGCGTGAGTGCCACTAGCACGCAAAGGGTTACAGAGAGTATAGAACAAGAGTAAAGAGACGTGTTTGGGGAGAAGATAAAGAGAAGGACGTGAAACAACATCAAGATATCAGATGTCGATTGACATTACACTTGAATATTTGAAGATTATAGTTATCAGGGAAGCAATAAGAGGAAGGGAATTCCACAGACGAGAAGTGAGAGGGAAGAAGCTGTTTGAGTGGAGGAGAAGGTTAAGTTTAAACGTTTCAAGACGCCAACCTAGTTGCTCGCTTAAATTAATGCTGTCCAGGAACCAGCGAAAGCAACTCGTCGGAACAGTTGCCGTGAAAATACTTACAGAAGAGACAGAGGGAAACCACAGCACGTCTGTGAGAAAGCGACTGTAAACTAGATGCCAGACCAGGACCTATCACACTGCATATCCGTTTCTGCATTTTGTCGAGGATCTCGAGACATACAGCGGGGGTAGCGGACCATATCTGACAGCAATATTCCATGTAAGGATGAATGGTTGATTAGATCAAGGCATCTGAAAATGTTGATTGACATTGCATTTGAATAAGTGAAGATTATCGCTATCAGGGAAGCAAGTAAGAGGAAGGGAGTTCCACGCACGAAAGTGCGAGACATGAAGCTATTGGAGTAGAAAAGACGGCTACATTTCACAGTTTCGACAGTGAACAGGTGTGATTGAGTTGCCAACCTAGTAGCACGCTTAAATTCATGCAGTATTTGTAGAAAAGACAGAGGGACGTGACGGTATGTCTGTGAGAAAATGACCGTAGACGAGATGCCAGATAAGGACCAGTCACATTGCATATCGATCTCTGGATTTTGTCGAGGACCTTGAGAAGAACAGCGGGGTCTTTACACCATATATGGCAGCATATTCCATGCAAGGACGAATGGTTTATTTATAAATTTGAAGGATGGACTCGGGCTAGAAAAACTTTCTGGCTCGACACAAAGAACCAACTTTCCTTGAGGTCGATGAAGTTATTTTTATTATGAATTCGAATTTTAGTATTTTTTTAATCGCAAAACAATATCCAAACGGTTTTTTTTTTAAATTTTTCTTTTATATACCGCATCTTTTCAGAACATGGAAGATTATGCCTCTCCACATTCTCCTTTTTAGCTCTAAACAACGTACTTACTATCCCTACCATTTACGGCTACATCACATTGAAACACCATTTCCCGTACGATCACTAAAGTTAAGCAATGTCAAGCCTGGTCAGTACTTAGATGGGTGACCGCTAGAGAATACCAGGTGCTGTAAAAGATAATGGTTCGGAAGGTGTAACAGGAAAGCCGTGTTTCAATTCATGTTGGGTTCGTTATATCCTCTTACACGCAGATAACCTTGGGGAAGGTGTAAGACCACCACTTTCCCCTGGCTATGGGTTAATTAGTACAAATTATATCAATAAATCATTATCATCTCTAAACTTCCTAATTCTAACATATTTCTTGGTTTTAATTAGCCTGCAATAGGTTGATAAGCCGTAAAAAAGAAATCGATCTAATCTAAAATTTCTCAAAACTCAACCACGCGGCTTACCTTTACGTAGATTTCAGTAATTCTCTCCTGGTCTGAACTGGTCTGAGGTTGGTGTGCTTGTATATTTTTCGAATACTTTCCTAGAAACGTTGTCTCAATAAAAGCTTTCAAATCATCCTCTGAACTGGCCTCTAGGAGTAAGTAGGTTCGCTTATCGCCTAGCTCACACAATTTCAACCATCTATTCTCGAGTATATGCTTATCCTTTGTTTCCAATTTAAGATGTTTTCTTGTTCCTTCTTCCAAAGTCCCAACTGAATCTACTTCAATTCTTTACTGTATGACTGCGCGGTGGCTGCAAATTTCCATTTTTGTAATTAGTAAGTCTTGTATCACAAAACCATTATTGTCTCCAAAATAAAATTCTTACAATCTAAAAATATTTTCTACCTTCAAATAACCTGCAAACGGTAGAAAAACGAATCAATCAGTTCTGATTCAGTGACCTATTTACCCAAGCATGAGGTACGTTATTTGATTTTTCCCTTTGATACTCTTTCCTGCAATATGACCTGTGAGTTAAATTCTTCAAATACTCCTTCCTCGTGATGTGTTGAAGAATATTCAACATTCTGTCTCTGATACTAAGTATAACCGTCCTTCTTTCAATTTTCCTTAAGAAATTCCTCGTTACTCACATGCTATACCCAGGGCATTTCTGATTCTAAATACAAGTGTCATTTTTTAAATTAAATGCACTAAAATAACTAACTTTTAACTAATATTTATTTGTTTATATATTTTGGCATATTTATATGTTGGAAACTTGCGGGAATGCGAAAATTCGCACATCAGATGTTGCACTTTTATTGAAAATCGATAAAATTCATTAAATAAATCTCACACGCTTAGCCCAGAAGGTATAATTTTTTTTATATCTACTTAAAGACACGTCAACATTAGAAAAACACTTGTTGCGTTTTCGTAAAAATCGTACAGAAAAGCTTTTTGAATATAAATTAAGACTAATTGTTTAAATTTCAAAACGAGTGTGCTTTAACACGAAGGGATTAGGGGCATGTTGTTGTTCTGTCTTCTTCCTTTGATAGAATTTGTGATTGCATAGCTGCATACATGCGTCAAGTTTTGTATACTTATTGTTAAGCATATATTTTTTATGTCTTTTGTGGATGTTTTTCTTTTCTTTCCACATATATATATATATATATATATATATATATATATATATATATATATATGAATAAAAATGACAATAGGAAAACTATTAATTTGGACTTTATCAAAGCAAAATACAAAATGAATATAATTTAACAAGGTAACTAATAAAAACAATTTCTAGAAAGTGACTCATTCAAGAATATTCTCCCTACAAACTCTTCATATTTCAGATACAAAGACAACTCATTATTAATATTTCCAAAAAACACAAATTTAACGGATCTTCTCTCCAAACTTAACAACGTTGAACCTACAATAAACTTCACTTTCGAAACTGAAATCAACTACATTCTTTCGTTCCTGGACATTTTGTTAATTAGAAATAATAACGATCTCAATTTTGACGTTTACAGAAAGGCTACAAACAAAAATGATCTGATCAGTTTCTACTCAAACCATTCTTCAAAAAAAAAATTAAATTTGGAATTATTATAGGTTTCTATCTAAGAGCATTAAGAATCTGTAGTCCCCAATATTTACTTAAAGAAGAAACATACATAGAAAACACATTCAAAAACCTACACTACCCATATCATTTCATCCACAACGCAAGAATAAAGACATACAAAATATACAAACGAAACGAAACTAATAACATAATCCGCAATAGTAAATCACATGAAAACAGATACATAATACTACCGACCAATTCTGCCACGTCCACGATCCAGAATAACCTATCCCATCTAAATAATCTTGAAATAGTCACAAAAACTTCCAAAACCATTATAGATATACTAAGATCTTCAAACATTAATAGCAATGATATTTCTGAAGCAGGCATTTATAAAATAAATCGCCAAAATTGTTCATTCCAATATATTGGAGAAACAAGTAGAAGTTTAAAAAAACGCATTTATGAGTACAAAGAGACCTCACAAAAAACAACTTGGCTAATGCACTAGTCATACATAGAAATAAATTCAACCATAATTTTGATTTTCAAAATGCTAAACTCATAAAAAAGAAAATAACTCACTCAGAAGGAAAATTCTGGAGATTGCAGCCATAGAATATTACCCAAATATTAATCTACGC